ACTAGGGTCCATATGAATCTTCAGGCATGGTTTGACTTATGGGATCTTATGAAGGCTGAGATGAGTAGGATATTTTTGGTATGGTTTTATTAGGATAATGGAGTGCTGGCGAATTCCAAGTAAAGAGGTTTTTAGGGGGGGGGGTTTATGAAATTTCAATGGAAGAGGTAATTTATTTGATAAAAAGATAGTGTTTACCTGACTCACGGGGATGATAAGTGAAGTAGATCAGGTGATTGGGACTCATGGTGTTTTGTGAGTCAGAATTTATGGTGGAAGCCATGTACCAGCCAATTGGTAAGCCTAACTGTATCTTCAGAGCTTATACAAGGGTGTGCCCCCCAATGGTGTTTGAGCATACTAGGGACAAGGATATCCTTAATAAAATGTTAAGTGTGTCTCCGCTGGGGATCAGGTGTATTATGGATAGAAGATCCTTAGTAATGATGATGACCTAGGTGAGGTGCACCATTTTTAAGAATATCTGAACCCGATGAGTTTGAGGGTGGTTTTGAAGGTGGATCTTAGATGGGTAACATGGACCCATCAAAACTTAGCAAGCTGAACCCAGGGTTTCATTGGGTTAATAGGTTCATGCTTCGAACCTAAAGGGTTTGAAAAGGGGGGCTAATGAGCTCATAATTTTGGGCTTCACATAGCTTGAACGGGTTACCTACTGAGGGGTTAGTATGTTTAAGTGAATCAACAGGTATAACCCCCCTTGACCACCTTGTGTTGATGTGCACAAGTGTGTGCTAAGCTCATGGCTAGGCCATGAGCTCTGTGTGAATAATTGAGAGATCAGAGAGAAATCTCAAATGAGAGAAGACAAAGTTAAGGGTGAGTGGTGGTGAGGAGAGATGACAGACCCGCCTTAGGCGCAGGTCTGTGTTTCTGAGTGCATGAGAGAGACACAAGAAAGGATGAGAGAGAGAGAGTGATGGACCTGCCTTAAGCACGGGTCCATATATCGAGTGTGTGAGGAGGAGATGGCAGGGAGTAGGGGTGAGAGTGATGGACCCTCCCTAGGCACGGGTTTGTGTGCTTTGATGGGAGAGAGAGAGTGAAGGAAGACAGAGTGAGAGAAGGAGAGATGGGCCCACGCTTAGGCGCAGGCCCGAGATTTTTGACAGAGAGAAGGGTGGGGAGGTCCGCCAGGGCCTTCATGGGCCCGGCAGGCCGGACTATGGGCCCGATTTCATCTTGTGGTGAGCGCCTCTGGACTGGGCTAGGCTTGAGCTTCGCATTGAGCCTGGCTTCATCCAGTTCTGATACTGTTTGGTGAATATTTCCGTTTTTACCGCTGGGAGATTTTTTAAATCAAAGGCTCAAGCAAGGGCAGGGGTGGTCATTTCACCTTTTTCTTTGACCTCTAAGCTCTCCCATCTTCTCTAAAATCCCATTGTCCTTCTATATGGACTTGCATGGAATAAAGCCTTTGTAGGGGTATGT